TCATATAAACTATTGATCTATAAAAATCCAGACTAAATCGATAAGAATAGACAGAAAAAACTAGAACAACCAAATTTCATTGATGTTCACATAGATTATATTCAGAGAACATTACAAATATCAATCTTTTAAATGATTTCTATACATTTTCCGTAACGCTGCATCTGTAGAACGAAATGCATTGCAGTTAACCTTAGCGTCTGTCATTATACCTGATCCCGTTCTTGTTTTTCTCATTTATGCCTATGAATCTTGGAGTTAAATACAGCCCAACCTTAAGGCCGCAGTTATAGTTCGAAATCGTATGAGATTGCCCAGTCGCCTGAGTGTGGGGTAAATACATATTGACTGCCCGACTCATGCGATCGCACGATTGTGTCCATATCTCGAAGCCAGATTGGGCGTGTCTATGGAATTGACGCGAGCGTCGTCGTACTTGATAGAAGCCGTGTGGCTTGCTGTTTCTAACATACCCCGAGAGATAAGAGATTGATAACGAATCAAAAACTCGATAACTTTCGAAAACTTGGAACAACCTGCCTTGGTAAGGTAAGTCGGTCTTGTCAAATACATGGCGGCATCTACCCGAAGATGGTAATCCTGGATGAGAGAGGCAGCAGGTGGGATCCGTTGAGCATAATCATCCGTTCGAACATTGGACCAAAGAAAAGTGCCAAGTTGTAACAACGTGTCACGGCACTGAAAAATGAAGTATAAAGAAGAATAAACGCTTAACACGTTGACGACAGTGTGAAGCGCATGCGTTTCGCATCTATAGCAGTTATTCTTCGTGCATGCGCTACTTCTTCTATGACTATAAACAGCGAGGTTTACCGAATGGTCAAATGTGCTTCACTTCAGCAAAGGCTCTCTATTCCTACTAATTCGTCAATTTGGTTCATTCCTGTTCTCTTATAAGAATGCATACAAAGTAATACTTTTCGGACCATCAGAGCCAGCAACTAAAACCCACCTTTTCATTGTCATAACGAATAATTTTGATCGAACATCCACTACTGTTCCTTTCGAGAAAGTAAATCCATTGAATATTGGTGAAAACATTTTGTACCCGAGTGATGCGTATTCACAGCTCAAAATTCACGGATTCGAGGTCAGGCGGCGGGGCGTGCAAAACCGCTCTGGTCCTACGCAGCGAATTAAAAAATGGCAAGGAATCATGTTGTTGTTAAAAAAGGCATTGGTCTTCGCCACAACTGAATCCTAAAAGGGGTTGAAAGCAAACAAAACCTAAAGAAATAAGCCCTCTTAGCTAATGTTTATATGCTGAGCATTCACAAACAGAATCCTAGTGGAAATAAATAACGGCCAAAGGAGGATATTTCAAGCGCTTTTAGCTCGATCATTCCCAACTTACGAGGGCCCGCGACACTAAGATGAAGCACAGCACAATATTAAGGTAACGGGTATCACACACATGATTCAACGACATTTTATTGATGTCAAAAACAAACAACGTACTTGATCCACCATCTCTCCAACCAACTTCAACGGTAAGCGAGAACTTTCGTGATATACAACACACTCCCGCTGCTGAGCAATCAGAATGCACAGACCGACAGCAATGTCACCCGTTAGCACAGCGTCCCGCAAGCGAGCAGATGCACGCTTGTTCCGTGCGTTTGTAAAACTCCCTGCCTGAAGATCAGTGGGTACCTTACAAGAATCAGCGCACATTCTACCGAAAACTAGTAAAAACGGGAGATTACTTCACAATGAGTCTATCTTCATGAAAGTAATAATTACCTCCTGCCTCAATAGTTCGCCACCTCCCAGCGCTTCCAATTGATCAGCTGTAGCGCCAGCCACGCCCTCGATGCACGCCATATTCTGGATTACTTCACGAAGAACAAGAAGATCGAAGCTGTGAAAGAAGTTGTTGTAAGAATTTGTAGAGAAGCTATTTATGAAAGGAAGAGGGCGCTCATGCCCTTCAAGAGGACATTCAAAGCAGGGCATTTAAACACCGCCGGTAGGTGAATAAGGCTTAGGCTGGTGTCCGAGTCCGCGATACGTCGCAGGCTTCGCGAGATTCGCGCGTGCCCATTTGAACATTTGAAACACTGAATATGAAACAAGTAGAATCATGAACAGTCGTCATTCAGCCATCACCATCAAGCAGAAATGGCGGCGGGATTGGAGAGCACCTTGCAGTATTGATCGGGCACTTGTGATTTCTGTGATCCGTCGCGCGAATCGCGCTAAGCCTGGGAAACCAGCAACGGATCGCGGACTCTGACACCAGCCTTAATTCCAAGCTCTCAACTGGCTCACTCACTTCAATGTCCCCCTAACGACATGAGCGCCGGAAAAAATGAAGTTCTTAAATATTATCATGAAAACCTCTTTTCGTTCTTCAACTGATTCATAACATAATTTAGCATCCCAGCCAGTTCAACGTTGTACTTCTTGTAGACCGCACCAACCTTAAATCAATGGGAATGAGACAATAATTCGAAACAGAATCAGGTGCTGAAAACAGTCAGACAATAGTGCCCGTTTGTTTGAAAAAAATCGGAAGGACATGTGATACATATGTAGTACTCAAGAAGTAAGGAATGAAATCGATAATTCCTTAATTTAGAAAAGTGAATAAGTTCATCAGAATTCTCACCAATGTTGCTAGGGCCTGCAGCCATGGGCTTAGTTTACCATCAGACGCTTTCAATTGCTGCTTATCAGGACTGGCAAGTTGTTCAATAATGCAATCTGAAAGTTTATAGAATAACGATCAGATCGAATGAGAAATGAACGGACCATTAGAGATGATTAAAAAAGCTTACATGTCAAAATGTCAAATTCCAGATTCGTGAGAAATTTCAGACTTTCCACCACTGGCTGGATTAAGTTGTCAAAAGTTTGAACCTAAACACAGCACTAATTTGGAGAGAATTAGTCAAGGCCAGAAAAAAAGGTGCTCGACAGGAGATTTCTACATAAAGGAACATTTGTAATTTTTTCCAGACGAAAACAGAAGTATTGAGGAACCATGTATTCTATAGATGTTTGCAGCCTTAATTGGGTATGTGGGTGGCTTCTCATAAAAGCCTGCCATACTAGGTAATATCAAACCTATTAGGGCCAACTTATTTCGCTAGTTCGCTAGTACACATACTTTGAAATGATGGACTATAAAAAAGCCTTCGAACTCCGACTCTTTAGCGAAAAACTTAGGCTGGTGTCAGAGTCCGCGATCCGTCGCAGGTTTCGCCAATTTTCGCGATTCACGCGATTTGCGCGATTCACGCGATTTCGCGACGGATCGCAAATTGCAAGTGTGTGAACATTTGAAAACACTGAATATGAAACAAGTGGAATCATGAGCAGTCGTCATTCAGCCATCACTATCAAGCAGAAGTGGCGGCAGGATTGGAGAACACCTTGCAGTATTGATCGGGCACTTGTGATTTCCGTGACCCGTCGCGTGAATCGCGCAAATCGGAATCGCGCAAATCGCGAAAATCAGCGAAACCTGCGACGGATCGCGGACTCTGACACCAGCCTTAGGAAAATGAGTGCCGATCTGAGCCAATCGTGACCATATAAAAATAAATGTTGAAAACCTCTTGTAAAATGGCAATCGGTGATCAAAAGACAGTAAAAGACAGTACTCGTGACTGAGCAAATAATCGAACAAGATAAATAACGTGCAAACGTGACACAGTTTTCCCACTGCCCTAAGCCATCATCGCACAGTTTCTTTAGGAACGTCTCCTGATATATTGAATCAAAAATGCGAGACCATCATTTGCAAACTTTTGCAGGAACACTCGAAGTAACCTTGGAACTCACTTTAGCACATATTTTGTCCTTCCCAAGACTTTGCCGCGCACAATATTCACTTCCGGATGGCGCATTGTGTCGAAAACTTCCAGCTGAAGAAATATTGCGAATTAGCAGTATTGTTTCCATCAGTACATGCCTTACAGTGTTGACATTAATGGTACATTTCTTCGAGACTCACTGTCCATAAAGACGATATCGCCATGTATACGGGAAAAATTGCAATAATGTCCACTTCCTCAGAAAGACCACTGTTGTAACTCAGACAAGGACAGACCAGGAAGAATGATCTCATCAACAATATCCATCATAGATCTTGCAACTGTAAAAGAAATCTATTCTCCAAAACTACTTGATGGATTTCTACGATAAACTGTAGGGAATTTAAGTATAACTTAAAGTATAAGTTTGGAAAGTCGCAGAAAGTGATTATATTCGTTGTTAGGCCAGTGGGCGGGGCTCGTGAGCAGGCAGATATGAACAAGGCAATTCACCACGCGGGAAATAGCAACAACGGTGAGAAACGTGCCACGAACGGACGTACACATAGTGAGCATCACCTCATCTTCATGAACCTTTGTCATTGTACTTAGAACACAGCGCTGCAGTTCTACGAAACAAAAGCGTCAGTGTCGAGAAAGCATGGTAAATGGCTTCATAAGATGCGCACCGATTATCCGACTGTCAGATTTCACATCGCACGTGCCTAGCAGTAAGTGCTCTCTATGCATGGGATTAATGACAGTTGTTGTGGGATGCCCTTAACGAATCCCGTTCGCAGGAATGAAGACTGTTCAACAATGAAGGTGAGGCGCCAACCAAAAGGACGAGATAGATAAGGCATGTAAAATAATCACAAAAAGTAAAAGAGCAACGTGAAATAGCTCCTGTGAGTTTCGTTCATCAAAAACAGGCAAGCAGTGTGCGAACTAAAGAGATGGAGTTCACAGAGAAACAAATTTTGCGTTAGAAACAGTAACAGGTCAGTAATATGAGCCAAAAATACCTGGTGAGTCACGCGGTGCTCCATCAGATCCTTTTGGTTGCTCACGATAGAATGCGGTAATCAAACGCACAAGCCTTGTCATTATTAAAGGACGATAAGCCAGTCGCGGTCCGACGTACCATAACATGGAGGTGAGGGAAGCAAGTCCAGTCCATGAAGTGACCTTAGAAATCTTCTATATTCCACAAATGGTACCAATCTGCTTGATCACACATTCAAATAAACAAACATTGGGTTTCAGATAGACTCACACGCTCTACGAATCCAGAATTGTCGTTACGTTTCGTGTCTGAACTGAGGTCTTCGAGTCTGTTCGAGCATTTTTCCAGATAGAAGTTTTCTATGGCTTTACCAATAAGATCAGAGATTGCATTGCTGACTCGGGTGCTGAAAGTCTTGATTTAATCTAACGTTGATAAGGTAGTTTCCAATTGGAAGTGGGGAGAATTAAGCAAGCAGCAATAATTATGCGGCACCTACTTCCAACAAACATGCCATAGGTAGACATTGAAAAACAAACATGGACTGTAATGGAGCCTGTCCGATAACTGTACGTTACAACCTAAGTCGGCCGAACTTCCACTCAAAGTATGTGCAACCTCACTGCTCCCTCTCTCTCTCTGAATGAATGTGACCCAACTAGACTGTGTTCCCCAGCCCACACAAATAAATACAACATGATGAAAGCCTAAGGCTTTTGCCGTTGATCAATCCCGTTTTTGGGATGCGGCACGCATTCTACTTCCATTTGTACATTCGCAGTGGCGCTTTGAATGCGATGTGGCCTA